TTCTCCTTCTCCTTCTTTCTTTGTTTCTTTATTTATGTGCGGATCTTCTTCAGTGCTGGGGTCTCTTAGGAGGCCGGTGGCCGTTCAGCAGCTGGAGAGCGGCCTCCAGCCAAAGCGCTGCCGAGGGGGCTGTGMGCGGGGCTGGATCGTCCTTTCTTGCTGGCAAAGCGTCGGGTCATTCCGTTTCTATCAAGCCTTGGAAATCTAAAATGTGGTTTATAGTGTCTGAGCTGTCACTAGTGRCTGGGGTGCTGTTGCTCCGTGCCTGATCCTCACGTATGATTGTGTAGGATAGACACGTATGTGTGTGCGCGCGTGTCAAGCCCTGGAGCAGTGCTCAGGAAGGCGCAAGCTGCATCTTCCCGGTGCGGCCGCTGCGTGTGGGGCCGGCACTCGGATCGCGTCGGCCTTAGGAACCACCTAGTGCTGCCTGCTGCTCCGCTCCGGTGAGTCCCGCGGGGCTTCTGGCCTTGGCAGGGAGCTTGTCCTTAATGAGCTCCCAGGTACCTTCTGCTGTGGCTTCCTTGAGCTGTGGTTGTTGAGGAGCTTCCTCACTCCTAATCCTCCCTGCTCCCCGCTCCCTTCAGCTTTCCAGTATTCTAGGTAATGCCGTTATCTGGGCATTGGCATTCACGTCCTGCCAGGAAGATGGGAAGAGGTGATGGGAGGCGTAACCTTGAATGCCAAGTCCTGGGGCTAGGAAGTCCCCTTGCTTTGGCATTTCTGTGGTCCTGACTTGCTAGATAAATGCAGTAGCATCATTCAGGATGCATGTTTCTGTGTAGTGATGGAGGTGAGGCTTTAATGAGGCTTTTTAGAAATAAGTTAACCAAGTTCTCGTCAAATTTCTGTGGTGGTCTGTACCCGCTCCCTGTTTATATTGAGAAGTTTCTGGAGATGCAGATCTTAGGTGTGCCTTGATATTTACCACTGGGCCGTGGCTCTTCACAGCAGGATAGTTCGTGTAGGATTACTAAGGTTGTTACTTTTATCCTTGTTCGACAGATGAATACATATTTTTAGAGATAAATTATAGGGTGGTAAAACTATGAATCTTTCTGAAGCAAGAAACGACAATAGGATGGCGCTTCATGCGTCCATTTTTTCTTTCCCAAATTCTAACTCCTCCCCTTTAGGCCTTTTTCTTTGTTTCTTTTCCATACAATATTCATGGACTTTCCACGGGAGAGGTTCACCGGGAGCATTTAGAGCAGCCGGGAGGCTGCAGTGTCAGCTTGGAGCTGCGCGGCTGCTGCGGCTCCTGTGCGTGTGCCGGAACAGGTCACCTTCCCGCGCTGCTCCTGGCCAAGTGCTTCGGAGAAAGGCTCGGGCTTGGACTGCGTCCTGCTGGGCAAGCGGAGCTGCGCAGGGCGGGCTTGGTTCCTCGCCCGGGTACTTGGCTGCTCCCAGGTTTTTCCCTGCCCTTGGGGCTCGTTTTGCTGTCCTGGGCTGCGTTTTGAGCCTGCAATGCAAGGCTTGGCAATCCCGGCTGGATGCTCTTCCCTCTTTCAGCCTTTCATTGCTAGAGGCTTAGTGTGTTTTATGGGGGAAGGCCAAGGGCCAGTTTTTACTTCAAGTAGCTTTTCTGCACTTATTTGGGTGACCTCGTTCCAAGGGGAGAGGCTCTGCTTTGGCGTTCAGGAATTTGACCAGTGACAGCCATCGACACCCACGCGTACATGTGTATCCATAAAACAGGTAAATCGTGTGCTCCCAACAAATTCCTGCCTACAGGAGTTAATGATTTCTTCAGACATCAAGCGTGCATTGAAAGCGTGTGACCTGCATGCTTTATACAAATTTTATCTTTATACACAGTGGTGTTGTTGAACCATGTCCTAATTTTCTGTTTTTGAGGAATCTGAACCCTTCAGCGGGTTATATGAACAGGAATAAGGCGCCATCCCTGGACATTGGGAGCGAATCCCTGGTTCACTGCCCCTTGCTCTTGCCTCCCCCCTGTCGCGCCAGCTGACCCAAAACATCATGTCATGCGATTYGGGAGTAGTTTCTGGACATATAACTGGGAGTGGGAATGAGTAAGGAGACGTAAGCTCCATGGCTTCTGTATAAGCTCCACGAYTTCTACAAGACATTACTATTTCTCACTGTACAGAGATACCCAGCCRTGTAGCCCATGTTACCATAGGATGTAATTCTTAATTCTAGTATTTGTCCCACCTGTTCAATTCCCTGCTGTGATATCTAAGCTTTTATAGCGTGAGATCCAAGAGTCTTGATCTCACTGCCCTGTGTGAGATTCCTGGTCATAATACTTGTATAAATGACAGCTAATTCTGTTTTGCTATGAGGTATGTTCATGCTTTGACCATGCTTGCTCTTTTGTACACCTCTCCATCTGTATTTGCTACTTTCTTTTGCACTTTATAAGACAAACAGATATTTCAGGGGTCTTTAACTCTTGGAAAACCGAAATGCTGCATATCTGGCTGTTGTCTTGGAAGTGAACACAGGATGATTTTGGAAGGTTTTGGCTTCTTCACTACCGGGCAGCGCTGGACAGGCTGCCTTAACGAAAGGAGATCTGGGCACGGTGTCTTTGTGCAGGTACTTGGGTGGCCAGTATTGCCACGAGACCGCTTGGGAAGGAGACTGCCTTTTCCACATTTACAGCAAATACGATGGGATGGTGTCWTGGTGCATTCCTGGCATTATTACATTGTTTCAAGGGATTATTGAGAGCTTTGTCTATTAGGAATCTATGCTGAGTGCCTTGGAGTCCAGCAGCAGAATAATGCTAATAAACAGTTACTTAGAGGAATAACTGTTAATTCTCAGTGTTGCACTTTAAAATACTCTAAATAATACCATTTTTTTTTTTGTTTGCCTCTCTTTTCTTTCATTTCCCCCCGCTCCGTCCCCCAGACCTGGAGGATGGGGCTTTGTCTTCCTATGAATCTGGCAGCTAGGTCTGAATTTTCTCATCACCAATCCAGTATGCAAATGCTGACAGATGTTTAGCGCTCGAGCACTAGCAAATGCCACTACAGTTTTGCGTTTTGTCGCACGCAGAGCCTTAGCCTCCCAAAGCACCCACTATTCCTGGTGTCAGTTGATTTGCATGGATTGCATTTACTTAACACCTTGCCGGATTAAAGTTCTTTTTATATGGCTGTTAAAATGCACACTCCAAAATGTTAGGCTTGCTGTTGTGAGAAGAGGAGAAAAGCTCTGGAAAATAGTCCAAAAATGCAGCAATTTGTCCCWCTAAATTAGAGGGGGAAACAGAGCCGGCCTCGCTGGGCGCCAGGGCCACAGGGTTCAGCACCGGCCCTCTGGACAGCGGCGCCCGGAGCACCCAGGTGTGCAGCGYGCGGCACGGGCGCCACAGTAAAAGTGTTAATTAAAAATATTAATTAAAACTGTTAATTAAAAGCGCAGCATCTCCAGTGGCTGAGGTCCTGGGTAGGCYGGGCTTGGGAGCCTAATATTTTATAAAATGCTGCGTCTTATGGCACCTCTGCTACCATTGGACGTAAAATTAACGTAATTTGATTTTATGGTGAAAACAAAACCTAAGCTTAAATGTAGACACTGACCAAATGTGGCTTGAAGGATTCTCATGTATTTAGTGGCCTGTGCAATAGAATAATTTTTAACATGGCAAAGTTAGAAACAAGTATCGAGTGTTTTAACATCAGAGAGTTGAAATAAGTGCAAAAAACCTCCTTGTCTCTGTATATTTTTTTTTCTCTGTGACCATTTGGGAGTTTGAAATGTTCAGATATAGCCTTTAGAATACAGCAAACCACATGATTTTAAGTTAAAGGAATCACACTGAACTACTGCATTAGAGTGAAGAGGGAAATATAGGAATTTAAAGACATTGTTTATGTATATTTTTACCATACGCCTTGAATTCCCTRTGAAGATAAGACTTGAGAGAAACAGACTGAAATGTAGTTATTCAAACAAACAGAGTTGAAACCTTGTTTTATTTGATTTTTTTCCTTTTTGAACTAGACCAAAACCATGATCACTAATATTCTCCCTTTTTGTTTCTAGGGGTTGACACAAAATTGAAATTCACTCTTGAGCCATCTTTAGGTCAGAATGGTTTTCAGCAGGTAATTTATTTCATTTCTCTCTGTACTTGAAATTTGGGATTCTTCTTGATAAAAGCACTAGCTCTATTTCAAAAGTGCTTCGCTCTGTCTTCATAAGGTCTGCRTATTATTTCTGATTCCATAAAGAGTTGGTCCACTAGTATTTGGAAACTGCAGTAGTTTTTGTTTTTTAAGATATCTTGTAAATCTTTGTATCCTAGAATGTTTYGTTTTTGCTGTATCCTTAATTCATATTTTTTTCCTGAAAATAGGTTAAGAAATGTGGTCAGAAAAATGAGATGCATGTAGCCGTCTGCGGGGGTGTGGATTTTACCCTGTTGCTGCATTGAACTAATGGCATATTTTTACCYTTTCTGAATGTTTTTGCTTTTAGTGGCACGATGCCCTCAAGGCYGTGGCCAGGTTGCCGACGGGCATCCCCAAGGAGTGGCGGCGGAAGGTAGGTACTCGTGTGAGCTTGGAGGTGTCTCACAAGGCACAGGGATGAACACCRCCACTATTGGCAGTGTTCTGCACACGTGTTCTGGAGTCTTAGCTTGTCCTGGGGATTCCTCATAGATAATGTTCTTCAGCGATCACCTTATAGGGCAGCCGAAGAGCCCAAGGACACGCGTGAAGATGGTGTTTACACCAGTGAGGTTATTCCTACTTGGGGCTTAGGTAGTCTGTTCCAATGCAGATATTATTGTTTTATTTTGTGCGTTTTGAGGGACTGTGTTGGCGAAGCTGCCCAGCAGCTGAAGAGCAGCTGAAAGGAGAGCATCTCTCCAGTGGAGRCTGTCATGAAGGCAAAATTGATAAGTGCTCGTGCTGGGGCCTCATAGACATATTTGATGTGAAAAGGCAGGTTGCTTTGATAGGGGAATCCAGCAGTGATGCTGAGTGGTAGAAAGTGCCATTAATGTGAAATTACAGTGAGTTAGTGTTGCAGGAAAGGRTCTAGTGGGAGAACATAAAATCTACCTTAGTGCCTGCTTTAACAGTACTTGATGTTCCCTAGTATTAAAAGAAGAAGAATTTGTCTTTTTTAAAAATTATATGAGAAACATGGTCTCAGGTTTAGAATGCAGTTTTACTAAAAATATTTATATATATATATGTATTAAATATATTTTGAACAGTATCCTTTTTAATGCTTTTGGTATTGATTTTGGTATTTTGGACCTTCCCAACCTATACTGTTCAGTCTGTTTATAAATTGGGGGAAGGAAACGGAAGAATTACAGGGCCACCACTTGCCTCACATCACCACATTTTTATGTTTGACCTGTGACTCCAGTGACTCGTCACATCGGCGCAGTAGCCCCTTTCCTCCCTTACAGTTCTCTTCCACGTCCCAGTAAGTGTCTCAGAACTGCCCTTGTGCTTTTGTTCCTCCAGTGCAGGAGTGGCAGATGTCTCTCCTCTCACTCGCCTTCCTCAGCCCGCCCACTGCTCACACATGGTCACGTCATAGAAACCAGGGAAGCAGTGAAAAAAGTGGAGACCTTTTCATACTATTCCCTGGTTTCTCAGTCATTTTAAGCCCTGGTTTCCCAGTCATTTTAGGATTGCTGTCAGGATGAAGTATCGGATGTGTTGGCAGCCTGGGTGATGTTCTGCTTCGCTGGCAGCAGGAGGGGCAGGAGGACATCTGCACTGCAGCTGTGGCTCGAAACGTCTGTGCTCTGGGGCTGGCACAAATGAAGAACCCAGTGACAGCGGTGCCAAAGGCTGCTTGGGGGCAGAGCCTGGCGGCATTCCCGCGCACATTCCCTTTGCAAAAGCCTGGGAAGCGATGCTTAAATTCAGGGAATGTGTGAGCTGGCTATAAATTCCCTCAGCGAGCAATGTCTAAGTGGGAATACTCTGTGGGAAGTATCTGAATTGCTTTTCTCTCTTGGGCGGGTTAATGGCTAATATAAAACTTAATTGCTTGTGCTCATGATTTCTTTCCATTTTCTGAAGGGAAAAGCCCTTCCCTTCCCTGCTCTGTCRTTGTATGATCTATTGTGTCTAGTGTTCAGGAACTTCTCAAGTGCTTAATGAAGGTCCAATCTTTAACTTGAGTGTACAGATATACATTTGTTTTGGTAATTATTGGGTAGTCAAAATGTTTGTTTTCAAAACTACCTGTAGTGTCAGCAGCTAGCAAGCCCACTTATGAATAACTTACTCTGATCTAAGTAATTCCTTGGGATTAATCCCAAATATTTTATACTGGACACTCCTCTTCTGTAATGTTGATCAGAAGAGACCTCTGGGAGAGAGCAGCGCTCCTGGGTTTCTATGTGGAGTTTGCAGGAGAGATGGATCCGTGGTGGAATMTGAGCAGACCTGGAGCTGCGTTACCCTTTCACGATGTCCTTGTGGGTGGTGAGGGCAGGAGGGCACACCTGGCCAGGAGGTCCTTGCAGGAGGATGGACGTCCATCTGGGAGGACCGGGTGGATCCAGCTTCTGGCAACGGGCTCTCATCTTTGCAGGACGTTCTCAGATGGACACACTTCAGTGCTGACCGTTGCCGTCCCCTAGGGAGCTAGATATGACCTTGGTTATTCAGAAATCRTTTTGAATAGAGTTCTCTTCTACATAATCCGAGTCTGAGAGCAGGTCCTACATGGGTGAAGAGCTAGTGAAGTTCATCTAAGTATGTATATATGAACTGCTCCTGTTCCACCTGAGAGATCACACGTTTTGCGGGCTTGCTTCGTGCCTTCCCAGGTTTGGCTGACCCTGGCTGACCAGTACTTGCACAGCATAGCCATCGACTGGGATAAAACGATGCGCTTCACGTTCAATGAAAGAAGCAATCCTGATGACGACTCCATGGGCATCCAGATAGTAAAGGTAGTCAAGTAATTTTTTAATGAAAAGCGATTTGTTTTTTAAGAAACAAAGTTTAGATTTTTTTTTTTTTTTTTTGCTTCTGCATTGGCAAAAATTATTCCTTAATTTCCCTTGGTCCACCAAAATTATTTCTTCTGCCTTTTTTCTGTCCTTTTTCTGCATTTTGTTTTTTTCTGCTTTTTTTGATCCTTCTGCATTTGATTGGTGTTTACTGAAAAAAAATGCTATTTTTAGAACATTTTGGACAATTTTTCTGGAGACTAAGGGGGGAAGTACCAAAGCATTCTTCTTCTCTGTATTTTAGAAATAAATACAGATATTTACTTGGATTAAAGGCGATATAGTGCAAGTATTGAGCATACTTTCAGTTATTTCACATTAGTGAAACATCTTTGCCTCTGCATTTTCCTGAGCTGATTGCCATTTCTCACTTAAGCCAGTAGCCTTTTTGGAGCAAGAGCTTAACAAATTTTCTGTTGTGGTGCTTTGGGTCTCGGCCTGCTTCCCTAGGAGAGGTTGTCTGTTCTGCAGTCCCTGCCCTGAGGGGACGCAGAGCAAAGGGTTCCTCATTGCTTTGGGTTCCTCATTGTCATCTGYACTTGGTAATTTAAGACTATACATATTACTCATGAGATAATCAAAACTGTGGTGCATGTTTTGCCTTTCACTCACAAATCTCCTAAACTCTTTGAAATGTCTTATTTTGTTCCTTTCCCCCCGCTTCTTTAAAGGACCTTCACCGAACTGGCTGCAGTTCCTACTGTGGCCAGGAGGCAGAGCAAGATCGAGTGGTGTTGAAGCGAGTGTTGTTGGCTTATGCCAGGTGGAATAAATCTGTTGGCTACTGTCAAGGCTTTAACATCCTAGCTGCCCTCATCCTGGAAGTGATGGAGGGCAACGAAGGGGATGCCCTGAAAGTGAGTAGATTTGTTGTTGTTGTTGCATCCTGGAGGATTGCTTAAAGTTGGTGAATTTTAGAATAAACCAGTGCATCAATTTGTAGACAGCTTGAAGGAGCAGGACTCAAAGGAATATGTGGGTTTGTATTTGTGAATTATTTGTTATCCTGTCTAAGCTGAAGTGGACAGTTTGAATGTTATCACTGTCAGCATTTCTGTCAGTAGTGAGTGGAGCTTCAAAAGAAGTTGTCTCATAATCCCCATAGCTCCCCCAGGCTGCAGAGGCAGCCGAAACCTTCCACTTCCTTTGGCAGCTTCGGTGAGGAGGCTAAAACATCTACTGCCTGTTAAAACTAATTGCTAGGAAAACACAAAGTATGATTTAAAATAAGAATGAATAGTTTTGAAGCTACTGTCTGGACTACTTTATTCATTGCAGTTTTTTATTTCTTAGGTATTTTCTATTCCAATTAAGAGCTTTATTCATAAACCTTGTATCACAAAAAGTCCAGCTTAATACAGGATGTGCCAAAGTCACATCCAGATTTCCTTAAGTAATACATGTGAGTTGGGGTCAAACTAATAAAAGATGATTGTGGCTTTTCAGAGAATGATGTGTTTATTTTTTCTTAGATAATGTTAAATATACTAAATACCTTATTTCACTTAAAGCTCCTAAAATATAAAGCTTTTGAAAATAGAGTTCAACTAGATAGTATTTAATATTTCATTCTATAGAAATGATCTATAATAGTAAGAACATAATGCAATATTCCTACTTTATATCATAGAGGAAATTTTCTTTGAATGATTCCTGTTAAAAATCTCATCAGTGTCGTCAAGTTGTTGTTGTTCTTAGAAGATAACAGACACTTACAATCCTACACTTACATTTGATTTTCTTGCAGATCATGATTTACCTAATTGATAAGGTACTTCCTGATAGCTATTTCGTCAATAATCTCCGGGCTCTTTCTGTGGATATGGCTGTTTTCCGAGATCTTTTAAGAATGAAACTTCCCGAACTGTCCCAGCACTTAGATACCCTGCAAAAAGCTGCTAACAGAGAAAGTGGAGGTAGGTTTGACAGATGATGCAGTTAAATTCCTTCTTGCTATTGTTTTGTTTGAACACTGGTCCAAAAATATTTACCTAATAAACACTGCTCTTTTAAATAKTTACATAAATATGCAGTTTGGAATATATATTCTTAAATTGTGAAAGAAAAATGACCATTTCCATTATTGATGAGCTTAAATTGACAGCTCTCTTACGAAAAATAAAGAGGGAGAACTTTGGTCTAAGATTTGACTCCAAACAGAATTGTGTTGACAACACATAAATTGTGGGTGATGACACCGTAACAAAGCTTAGTGCAAGGGTGACCTTGGCGGGACGTGTGTCAGCTCCTTGGCTGTTCTGGGAGGTGTTACGAGGTCAGAGCGAGTGTGGCTGGTTATTATTTCTTCACCTGGATGCCTATCAATACACAGATACAGAACAACACTTCCTTACGACCTGAGAGCTGACTGTGCACTGTGCATTTCAGGTATTCTTGCTACCATATCGCAGTAGTAAATAAAGAGCATCCTGCCCAAACGGTATAAGGACCAAGCACGTTAAGAAAGCATTTGCTGCTTGAAAGTGTTTCTGCAGGAGGCAGCCTCTTTGGGTCATAGTCTCCAATCCRTCAGCTGGCACTCGGCTGCATACATCACTCTGAGCATAACAAGAATTTCAAGCTGAAATAGCATATCTTGTCTTAAGATAACAGCCAACTGCTTCACATGTCAGAAAACCAAGTGTGTTACAGCCACTTTGCTAGGTGGACAGAAGCTTAGCAAAGACAGTATGTTAGGACTTTAATACAACAGGTAAGACTTTAAAGGAGGGTCACCTCCATGCAGCTAAAGGCTTCTTTTTTTTTCTCCATTAATTTTTTTTTTAAGTTTCTGCAGAAATRTTTGTTTGTTTGTATGTTTTAAGTAAAACATTTAGCTCTCGTGGCTTTGGGGAAGATGCCAAGGGTGCTGCTCAGGGCTGTCTGCAGTGCAGCAAAGTGAAAGTAACAGAAGTACTAGAATGACTGGTAGATTCAGGCTTACAGAACTGCATCGGTTTATACTGCTTGGAAAATAACAGGAGAATCAGAACAACTTTCAGGATTTTTTCTTTTATTTTTTTCTTGCAGGAGGCTACGAACCCCCTCTTACAAACGTCTTCACAATGCAGTGGTTTCTGACTCTCTTTGCCACTTGCCTGCCTAACCACACGGTCCTGAAGATCTGGGATTCCGTGTTCTTTGAAGGCTCTGAAATAATTCTGAGAGTAGCCCTGGCTATCTGGGCAAAACTGGGAGAGTAAGTGACCATCTTTTAGCTGCTTTTGTCTTTAATATGAGCAAAGTATATAACATATATGTTGTTCTGAATAACATGTTTTCAAATTTAAACAAGATGTGGTCTTTCAAGAGAATACTTTTGCTTTGAAAAGTCTACATGAAGTGTCTCTGTGTCTTCTTCAAAAATGTGTGCTGGAGAACATCATCGTGGCTGCAGAAAGATGGGCTTGGTAATGAATTAACCCTTCCTGCAGCAGATGTCTCCAGTTATTTGTGTTGCTTGTGTAGAATGTCTTCATTTTATCCTGAAATATTGTATGGATTTTCAAAAACAGAGAAAAACTGAAGGAGATTGTAAATACTCTATGGAAAGAAATACAGGGAGACTTGAGGGTGGCTTAATTTAGGTACCTGAATTTGGGAATATTATTTCCCTCATTTTTGCCTTCCAAGCAGAGGAACTTAAGGGTGTGAGACCAATGGCYCTACCCAAGAAAAGAGTTATTATTAACAGGGTGATTTAGTATTACATCGTTATTTTTTTGTTAAGTCCAGTTAACAAGTTTTCTTGAATTTCTGTACTTCTAAACACATTCTACTCGACTTTTTATTAAAATCTTTGATGGATTCAGATACCTGCCATATAGAACAAAATGTGGGGATCATTAGTTCTTCTTAACCACCTCTGCTGTCATAGCAAATATTTGCTGTCCGAAGAGAACAGACAGTCTTCCTGGAGAAATGAGTTTTGTCACTCGAGTGCAAAGTGCCGGTTCTTACAGGCCAAGCAGTTGCTAGTGCAGCTGGAAACTTCTCTCAGGTGAAATGAGAGCTATATCGTTTGATGAAATGAGCAGCTATATCATTTTTTTTTCCTTGTGACACCTACCAGTACTCATTTTCCTTCTTCTTTTCTTGAGACTAAACCCCTGGAAGTTACATTCTGCTCTCTCCTTGAAGATTTCTTTTTTTTTTCTTTCAAAATAGATTAGCAGCACAGGYCAGTAATGTTTTGTCATTCATTTAGTGTGTTTCATTTTGAATCTGAAGAATGATAATTAGAATAATAATTGCCCAAGACCTTTACTTGTTCATTTCATGAGTTAAACTTTCATGGATCATTCCCGTTAGGATTAAGCTAGCTGTAGCCCCATTGTGTCTCACTACTTCATACTGTACCTCTAGATTAAAGTTGCTCGAGCACTGAGTCTCTGTGCACTTAAAAGCAGCAATTACAAATGTTTCAACTCATAACGTGTTAAAAAGAAAGTCATTGATCTGAAGAATTTACCATTCAATCTAATCAAGGCAAAAATAAAGTGTGTGAGTTACAAAAATTGAAAGGATTGGAGKAGGGAAATGATATATAAGAGTTAAGACCAAGTGAGCAAGTTAATCACACTGCACACCAAGCTACTGTGGCTTGATAGGACTTCAGGACAGATAAGGGGGCACTTAACAGAAATCAGCAGTGGTGTGATAAGCAGAGATGCAGAAAAAGGTCATAAAAACTAAACAATTGAATTTCAGYAAGTTCATGATTAATGTTATCACGTGAGAGGAGGAAGTCAAAGAAGATTGGCCCTGTGTTTTGGCTGGAAGGAGATTGTGGTTTTGTTCATTTCTCCTCCACTAAATACTGTCCTCGTAAAAGGGAGATTTAGAGAAGCGAAACGAGAGACAAGGATCAGAGTCTCACAATTGTCAGCTTTCCATAAATATTTTTCTAGACATGCAGATGTTGTGGGAAGTGCTTTCTTAAAATGTTTTGCTTGTGTTCTGGGGGAAAGAGACTTAAGGAATGGCCAGGTTAAAAACAAGGACATTGGGAAAGTAATATGTGAGTCCATAAGATACTGAAGGTATTGAGGAAGATAAATTTCTGTGATAATTGTCTACATACCCATTACTTTTTTGTTTGTTTTTTTTTAATTATTTAATCATTCTTTTAGCTGAATTATGTTAAGATTTCAGTAGTAGCTCCATAGTTCAATATTGGTTTCCTATTGTGGATTCCCACGGTAGATCAAGAGATCGAGTTGTGCCTTCTGATCCTTCAGGAAAAAGGCAGTGTCATTCCAGCAGCTAGACTTTGAAAGGAGGAGGCTATTCCATGGAAACCCAGCTGTTACACAGCCTGCTGTCAGCTGGGAAATGCAGCTTGGATCAACCGGAACGGCCGTGTTACCCAGGTGGAAGTTGCCTCAAGTTAGTCCATGCTGAGCCTAACCATGGCAGAGAAATCCTGCTCTGCTGCCAGCAGTGGTCAACTCAAAATCATGGCAATCTTGTCTTAGTTAGGCCAACTCAGGGCACTGTGTCATAAATGCTATGTGCCAAAGGCCATGAAAAAATCCATGTCCACCTTGACACCTTTTTGGATTTTGTTGTTCTATTTTTATTTTTTAGTGGCAGGGACTTAGATACCTTGCCCTGTTATCTTGACCACTGCTCTCTTAATCAACAAAAAAKGCATTTTAGAGCTCCTTTTTGAAATACTTGCTAGCCTGATGCCRTTTTGTGCTGATGAAGCCCCAAGGAGAAATGCAATTTACTTCTCCAGCCTGTATTTTTCTTTTTCTCAAGACAGCTTRCTAGACTTAGATTTTAGACCAAAAGCTAATGGCAAAATTGGTCCCAAGCATCATCTTACAGACATAAATATTTCATTTTTTTTAATACTTGAGATAAAGCTTAGATGAATAATAGGTCATTCAGTAAATTTTACTCAAAACAGTGATTTCAGATGGAGCAATTCTTGAACTGATGTTTTTTTTCCAACTAGAGATCCTTCCTAGTAGATCTTTCTAGAACTATTAGAGCTAGAGCTAGATTTCCTACCAAAGAATGTGTGCTYCTTTTCTTTAAGGATATTTTTCAGGAAGGAAAACATAACTTGTGTATAGCTCTAAGACACCCAAACCACATTAAGAGAATGTGGATTACTTGGCAATAAACAGGAAGAAATTAAAAGTTAAGTCTCTTTTAAAGCTATAAACTTCTAAACCACAGGATGAGGATGATAATATTTATTTTCCTCCTGAAGATGCTCCAAAGATAAATTAATATTGGAAATTTTAATGGTGTCTTTGTGTAGAAGTTGTTTTAAGTGCAAAAAACTGATAAATTTTAGCYAATCAGTGGTTTATTACTCTTCTTTGTTTCCCTGTCTCCAGCTATAAATTATCTTTTGTTTAAAGGTCAGACAAGGGTTCTCAGCAAAACTGGTGGGAATAAGATTAATTTTTATTCAGAGAGGTCTGAAGAAGGGCCTTGAAAGTTCAAAGCTTTTCTAATCGGATCAGGCCAGTGGATCCTTTAATCAAGCTGTTGCACAGCAGCTTGTAACATATGTAGCTAAGCTGACCAATCTGTAGGTGTATATGTGTGAAAGAAGAGTATTTTTTGCATGTCTTTGTAAGGTATTACAATATTAATTTGACAAGAGGCACTTACTGCACTCARTCCTATGCGATGACACATGTTTGTAAAGCTCAGACTCATTCCCCGTATTTCTGAGGTGACAGATTTCTGTTCTGGGATAGAAGTAAAACACATTTTTCCCTTCATGGGAAAGGATGTTTGTTGCCTGACCTAAGGTCCATTGAAGCATCTCACAGAGGTGCCTTAGTCTTTCTTCTCTTCCTTTAGGTAACATTTTGTGTTCAATTTTATTTTTCCTATTGATTTCATGTTTTATGTTTGATWTTATGTTTTATATTCAAGTTTCTACTTGAGAAAAGTGAAAAATTGGACRTTTTCCAATTGGAAAGTAGTGTTCATAGGTATGCAGTGTGTGACAGACCTGTTCTGCATTGCGTGAGCACAATTTGAGTGAATACAGTCATAGATACATACACACATTGCCTTTCTCCACTGGAGTGTTTTCCGGACAAACAACCTTTTCCTCTTCGGCCAAGAGGCAGTTCAGGCAGGGCATTCAGCTTTCCCTGGTGTTAGCAGGAGGCAGCACTTACCAGTTTTCAAGCTGCAGAAGCAAAAGGAGCAGATTGAAGAACCTGTCCTCACATGTGCGGAGACTTTGTCATGTGCAGTCAGGCCAGAAAACTGTGCTCAGTCCATTCTCTTACTGCACCGATATTTCCAGTGTGAGCTGCGTGACCTTATTATTTGAGGGTAAGAGGAAACAGCCACAAACTGAAGCATCAGAAGTTCCACGGGAACTTAAGGAAAAATTTCTTGACAGTGAGGGTGCCMGAGCCCTGGCACAGGCTGCCCAGGGAGGCTGTGGAGTCTCCTTCTCTGGAGATCTTCCCAACCCGCCTGGATGCCGCCCTGTGCCCCATGCTCTGGGTGTCCCTGCTGGAGCAGGGGGTTGGACTGGATGATCTCTAAAGGTCCCTTCCAACCTTAAGTGTTCTGTGATTCTGTGAAGGTGTGGGAAGGATTGCAGTGAACTTAAACTGACCAGTGGAAGTGTGTATTTTATGACTGCAGAAAATTCAGTTTGGGTTTGGAAGTGTGTAATGACACGTAAGAATAAAACAAAAGTCCAACATATTTTTTGATGCAGGCAAATCGAGTGTTGTGAAACTGCAGATGAGTTCTACAGCACCATGGGCAAGCTGACCCAGGAGATGCTAGAGGACAGTCTGATTGACAGCCATGAGCTCATGCAGGTGAGTAAATATGATATAGTTACTGTTTGTGTGATCTCTGCATTCATTGGATACTGATCTCTAAAGAATTACACTTTTTATTTAGGTATTTTAGAAACCTAAACTCTCCCAAGAATTAAAAATAAGGTAACTGGGTTAAAATAGCATTCTGGTACAGCAAATAAATGACTGCAGTTAAAGCTAAAATCTTATACGTTAAGCATAGAGAGCTACTTGGCTTCGTCTGATAAAAATTGGATGTCATTCCAACAGCTTAAAGTTTGTTTTGATATAATGCCCAACTGGTGTAAATATACAAAATGACTAGTAAAAGATGCTACATCTTTTTTTTGGTGTGTTCCTTTGTTTTGTTTTGCCTTATTTTTTGCCAGTTATTTATTACAGGGTGTCCTTTTTGTTCAGTAGACACTCTGGGAGACTAGAGTTTATCAACTGAAAAGGGAAAAAAAGCCTCTTCATGAATTAAAAAAAGGAAAAAAGCCATGAACAGTCGTCAGTGGACCATAAACAAAGACATTTGTAGATAATTGTACTCACTGGATCCTTAAAGCTTACGTCATTGTACAAGAACAAAGATTAGATTGTTCTGGGAAAAAGGGCTTGCAGGGCTGCAGACACAATTTTATTGATTTTTTTTCTAATATCCTTGAGATGTTGTCTGCTTAGGTGATTAGTGAGGACTTCACAATACACTCCTAGGACTCTCTTATCCATGAGTTAGAGTGTGRTGATTAATTGGGTGCGAGGATCAGAGCAAGTAACCCACCTGAAATGTCTTACCTGCCTTAGCCGTGCAATATGCAGCTGTATGCATCTTCTGCGGTAGCTGGTGGGTCACTTTTGTTCCTGTTCACAGTATATGCATCACTGGAAGCTCTGTGTGTTGGCAGCCCGGGATAATAGACGTCCAGAGTCCGGGGAAGCACTGCCCTAAAGGAGCAGATCCCCGACATGGTTTTTAAATGGATGTTATGGTTCCTCCCAGAACAGCTCGGAGACTCGAGTTGCGTGAGGAGGGCAGCAGAGGCTAATGCCTTCTCCTGGGTATTACCACTCAGTGCTGGATTTCCTTCCCCCTTGTTGTGTGTAATGGAAGATAGATCACAGGTAGCTCACAGACTGTGGGGTTGGAACTGTTACAGTTATTGCAATGTGAGTATATTGAATTAGCAGCCCTTCCATGCTTCAGCAAGAGATGAGAGGCCCTTGGTGGCAAGTGTTTGCCTCTTTATGGTGTAGGTGTGGATCGTGTGATGCTTGCAGGGTGCGAGGGGGAGGGTGTTGTTGCCCCCGGTGTGGGGGTGGCGCGGGAGGTACCAGGGCTTCTTGCGCAGCGGGAGCAGCGGCTCTGCTCTCSGTGTGACCCGCTCCCGGCGGCGGCAGCCCCGGCTCTGCGCCCTCYGTGGGGAGAGGCGGGAGCAGCCGCCTTCGGCCGAGGGGAATCCCACGGGAATCCTATGGGAATTCCACGGGAATCCCACGGACACCGCATACCGAGTGGCATTTCAGCCACCTGCCATTCGTGGTGGAGGGGAAAAGCCTCCACCAAAGGGAAGCCTGAACGGGTGCCTTAGTGAAGGGCTCCAGGCAGCTCAAAAGCCTCACTTTTATATATTGTTTTAAGCTTTTCCGGGGGAATCAGCCAGAGATTAAGGTTTAGGCTACTTCGCTTTCGAAGTCTTTGTTTGGTTTTCCAAAATCAGGCCTCATAACTGTTTGTTTTTTCCCCAAGATGGCCCCATTGTGTAAGAGGGTTGGTAGCCGAGCTGGGCTTGCCCACCCGTGCCAGGGAGGCCTGGTGGTGGCCGTCACCTCACTTCTCTCCAGACTGGCCTGACAGTGACGTTTGTGCCAGGGCTGCCTGTGTCCTCGCTTAAACCTGTGAGCAGCTACAGGCTCTTCTAGGCCCCTAGTGGACAAACTGTGCCCTAAAAGGCCTGTTCATTTAGTTCGGGGGTAGAAGGGGGCATGGCTGATGCCTCAGGAGCAAGTGCAGGCAGGACAGATGAGGCGTGAGGTGGATGCGGGGAACTCCTGCCCTTGTTCTCTTCACTGCCATGTGTGCTTGGTATGAGTGTGGCATTTACAGGCTCTTATAGATGGCATGGGTACCCAGAATGGAGGGCTTAAAGCTCCTGCAAGTCTGGCCCTCAAGTGGCAAAAGGTCCTTTAGTTGCTGTGGAGAGCCCGGAAGGATCAAAAGAGCAAACAAGGCTACTGCTTTTTCAGGCTGAAGAATTTGGGTAAATAACGATAAGCGCTGCACACTCAAGAAGTTAGGCCAGGTGTGTAGTCAGGACTAGAGGCTAAACAAGCCTGGTATTCAGTAAGGTCATTTTATTGAGATATTAATAAACCCCCTTTGCTCTAAACGGAGAGAGGGCTGCATGCCAGGTGCCAGCAGATGCTCTGGGTGCTGTGAGCTGATTTATGAGCAGTGCACGCTCTCCTCCCTCCTCACAGAGCAAGTCTTTTCACAAGCAGCAAAATTAATTCAGTTTGTATGCTTAAAAACATGCCAGTGTGGAGGAGATGAGAAGAAAACAGGAGAAGGAGAGGAGTCCCTCCGTGTTTGCTGTGGTAGAGACGACTAAGGTTTAGTCCTTCTCTATTATCATAACAGTTTCAGACTATCTCATGTAGACACTGTGGTTCTGATCTGAGTGTATTTAAGTTTTTTGGAGGGGCAGGGGGATTGTTTTGTTTGTTTTCTGTTTTCACCAGAGAAAGCAAAAGAGAGATAGAGAAGCCTTCCCCAGGTGGGACTGCTCTTGAGGGAAGTGTTTGAGAGCTATCTGGGAAAGCAGAATCACTCACCCTCTTCTGGAAGTCACAGCCCATCGCCTTTGTGGAGTATTCTGAGGGCTGACGTGGCCTTGCATTTTCAGAGCAAGGCAGAAAATGGACCAAAAAAACCCAAAAAGTATTTTACTCAAGTCAGAAGAGATTTTTTTAAATGTTTCTAGAATCTGTCCATTATGGCCATAATAAGCTACTGAGTTTGGTTGCATCAAGATTACTGCTTGTAGGCATATTACACTATCACAGTGTCAGCAAAATTAACTGAATGGTATCCAAAGACATGTGCAAACTCGGAATAAGATGTTTAAGCTTTGAAACATTGCTGAAAGGAGGAAATCAGAGGTGGCAATTGTTATAATTTTTGAATTTTCAGTGGAACTTGCACCAAGATAGAGGGGGATTGGTTTGGTTGGTTGGGGTCTTTTTTCTTTTTTTTGTGTAGGTTTCTTAGCCAGTCAGCAAGTGCAAGCCTTTAGCTTAATCTGATAACAAGCAATTAAGTTAAAAGTGGGTACATTAAACGGAAGAAATTGCCCAGGATCTGGACAAGACACAGATTGGCGACATGGAAAAGCTGAAGCATAATCTAAACCAGTAGGAGCAAGGAAAAAAGGGAAGGCTCCGGGCTGAGCGCTTCACATAAAGGGTAGCCAGCATATGGAACAAGTTACCTGGAAGGGCTGTTGACATAAAGAGTAGAAATAAATTCCAGACACACCTCTGCTCCATGAAGGGGGAAATAGGAGAGACATATGGCAGAGAAACAGGAAAGTGTGACGGAGATCAAACCAACAGGCAGACATGTTGGGCCGGAGGTAGGTCTTTCCTCCAGATCATAAAATTCCTTGGTCTGGTGAACGGCCAGGATGTCACTGTTCAGGCCCCAGAGAATATTTGTCTTTCACAGTAGCTCTGCAGTTCCATGAAGTGGCAAAGCTTTGGTGCCTCTTCTGGGCTTTTGAAGGCATTTTCTGTACCTTAGGCTCTGCTCATACCTCAAGGTGTAAAAGCTTTTCCTTGCAGATCCCTGCTTGGCTGCACTGTTGCCCAAGCCTGATCCAACCAGGGCATGTTCCTCCTGGCTCCTGCACTTGCAGGTTGCACCCGAGAAGCATCTCTCTGTTCCTCCTGGCACTTACTCCATTTTTGTGCTTTTCTTAGTGCACTTACTGCAGACAAGGCATTTCTCAGGAATGGATTATGTAGCAATTGTTCAGAATTCCCTTTCATCTTAATTGAGACCATTTGCCTTCAAATGAAAACGCCACTGACTTTATAGCACAAGAAGCACATGCAAGCCAAGATTTCCTGTCACAGCTAATGAGATTTTTTTAAGTTGCTGTCTTTCAGAAGACATTTAATTTTCAAACTAGGGGAAAAGCTGTGATTTTCACAGAAGCACCAAAAAGCTGTTACAGCTATTCGTTTTTTCCCTTTTGGCATCAAGACTCCAAATGAATTATGTGCCAATTGTTTGGATGCCCGGAATAATTTTAAATGTGGAAACAGGAGGAAAAAAAAAAGTCTAGTTAATTTGTGAGAACAAATTTAATTGCAGTGGTATTTCAGTGAACTTGATGTGTCATTATGCAGGTCAGCTGATGATGTACAATCCATTTTATAAGGTGATTTAAAGGAAAAATATTGCTGAAGTAAATGCATTTGCAACGATTTGTCTGCTTTATCCCTGGGTTCTGGAATAAAATGTATTACAGCCTATTTTTTTTAACAGTCTTGTTTTACATTCTGAGGACTGCTTTGTTGAATTTGGAATATGACAGAACGGTATCTTTGTTTATCATAGTAGAAGTCTTTTATTTATATATTACATATTATTACATATATATTTATGTATTATAAGTGTATATAAAATGTATATTTAACTGTGCAAAGAAAAAAGTTCACTTTTTGAAATCCCTCCTGTTTGACTGTAACTTTTGTGCTGAGGAAGTGATTCCTGTCACACGGACTCTTGGGGCTCAGCTGGCAAAATGACTTTGGTTTAAATGGATCAGTAACAGTCCGTGCCAGGTGATAATCTCCTCCGTACTGCTTGTGCTAGTGTCTGTATCTCGTTGAATGCTAGGGCAGAAAAGTGGGTCTTCTGGAGGATCCCAGAAAACTCAGTGATAAATTTATGTAAGTGAAATCATAGTTGGAGGAAGAGATTTTGCAAAGTGCAGGCAAGGAGTGGATTGAAAATTATTGTTTCATAAATACAGTAGTGGAAAAAGACCTTACATTCTTATGTTGCACAAAATGAACAATCGTGTAAGGTTCCTCATTTCCATAATGTATTTTTCCAATGATCCTCTTTCCTCCTGAGGCTTTCTCAGACATAAAGGGTATTTCACAGGCACAGGCTCCTGTGCTACCTCTCATGTTATCATGTGTCTTTTGCTCTGAGCCAAGTCTTTTTCCAGTGAGTCATTCTTTATTTTCTTACAGGAAATATTGATTGCATCAGAAAAAAATAGGCCATTTACATTTTCTTATGGCACATGTGCAGCCTTTAGTCTCTACGAAAATCTGTACAAGGGATTTTTTTTTTTTTTGTGGATCTGTTGGTTAAAAGGACAGTTTTAAAAGCTACATTTTTTTTTCCCTAGACTGTTTATTCCATGGCCCAGTTTCCCTTCCCACAGCTGGCAGAATTACGGGAGAAATACACGTACAACATTACTCCTTTCCCTGCTGCAGTAAAATCAACCTCCCTTTCCGGGTAAGTTTGGGCCGCGCTACTTAAAGCATATGGGGCCACCGTTTATCTTRGGTAGATATAAGCAGGTGGCATCTTCCCTTATACACCCTTGAAGAAGGTGAAGATGTTTGCTAGTGATCGTATATAGTAAAGTCTTTCTTTCCTATATCCCTTATGTTCTCRTTTGATAGGAGGCTTGGCAAAACCCGAGACAGTGATGAGGAGAACGACCCGGATGATGAGGACTCCATTGCCAATGCGATTGGTTGTCTGGGACCATTAAGTGGGTTTTTGATACCAGAGCTCCAGAAGTACCAGAAGCAGATCAAAGGTAGTGGTGCCTCGACCGATCTTGAAGAACCTCAGATCTGCATGGCCTTGCAGATATCATCTGTAGCTTTAGCTGTGAAAGTTGCTATGAAAGCTGTATTTTAAATTCACACACGGATTACAGTACAAGTCCAAAGGCTGGCCCTGAGGTCTGTGAAGATGTCTTCTAAGCTAAGCTTGAAGGCTTTATATGTTCAGTAAATTGGGTAGCTATTTGCCATAGTAGTGTTTAAAATACCAACCCCAGTGTTCCCCGCTTACACAAAAGCAGCAAGCATATATTAAAAAAAAAAATCTATCCTGATGCTAATTTCCAAGAGAGCTATTGAGTAGTCAGCATCTTCTGAGAAGTGAAAATGGGATAAATATTCTAGACCTTTATTAGTATATAGGTCAATACAGCTGGAATCTATGAGTGGTGAAACAGCAACCGAATTCTGCAGGTCACTTCACATCCCTGCAGGCTAAACCTTCTGAGAGTTGTATGCCTTGGGTGTGTCAACTTTCCTTTAAAGAGCACAGTGTGTGGTGACAAAATGTTACCTTTTTTTCACATCCCTTAATATTGAAAGAACGTTTCTGACAGAATTATACATTCAACTGTGTGAGTGCTGTAAGTAGAGTAAAATTCTCATGCATGTKCTTGTTTCCTTGATGCCCAGCGTGGGGGCAGCACTGGTCTCGGCCCTTCAGAGGCACTGCCTGGAGCAGGATGGCTGTAGTTAGGGAAAGGCTGGCCAGTGTCAGCAGTCACTGCTGCCTGGTCGTGCATCACGGTGCCCGTGGCTTGGTTTTAATGAGAGCTCAACGCTGGATTCCCCTTTTTGGTGTTGTGGTGGTTTGCTCTCCCTTCCTGAGGGACTCCAAGTCTTTATCCACTGCTTCACGCTGGCACTTGGAGCAAATGAGGGCCYAATAATTTTTGAGATGCTTTAGGGATGTCTTGGTATGTTTTCAGGTAGTTTATAAATGGATTTCCCCACTCTCCATTGCTCAGTTAATTGGTTTTGTACTCCTTTTTAAAAATATTTCCACAATAATGTTAAGCAGTAGTTTGAGAGGTATAATACTTATTAAAATACAGCAGCTGTGTTAAATGAAGGCAGCTGCTTTCATTAAAGGCTATCAGTAAATAAGACTACAGGTCTATACTTCTCTTGCAGGAGAKCTGAGGACCTCCTGACTGTGCTGATGTCTTCCTCATCTTCTCTTTGTTCCTACTGTGCAGATCAGAATGAAGAACAAAGTCTGGGCTCCAGCAACATCGCAGAGCTAAGTCCAGGGGCAATAGACTCTTGCCGCAGTGAATACCATGCTGCTTTTAACAGCATGATGATGGAGCGYATGACCACGGATATCAACGCCCTGAAGAAGCAATATTCCAGGATAAAGAAGAAGCAGCAGCAGCAGGTTCATCATGTGTACATCAGAGCAGGTAACACGCTGAAACAAACTTCACTTACTCATTTACAAGCTGGCATAATAGGAGGCAAGTCAAAGAATATCCTTTTATATTTAACCAAATAGAGAAAACAAGAGAGGACAGAATATATAATATGTTTGTAATAAAGTGGATATGCTACTTCATACACACAAATTGTAAATGAGAAGATGATGTTTTTGTTTTTCTTTTGTCAGGATCTGAAGATGATGACCCTGGGATCTCTTTGGGTCCCAGGGACCAACTGAACAATGGTATTTAAAGGTGTCTTTGCCCTCTGGGTGCATTTTGTTGATCTCTGTGATTTAAAAAACTAAATCTTTGGCATTCTTGGAGTTAACATAGTGGTGCACTGTAAAAAGTGAAATGAGACACCTCAGGAGCAGGTAGCTGGTGCAAATCAGCCTAACTTCCCCCAGGTCACCAGCGCATGGTAGGTTAGGGAGGTGGCTCAAATGCTCTATTGCAGTTGATAGTCTATCTAGTTCTAACAACTTTGATATGAGAATGTAAGTGGAGATGAGTCTGTTATTTAGTCTGCTTCAAGCTGTTACAGCTGCTTCCAGAGCTGGCAAACCAGAGTACACCAGGGTAGGCTGAGCAGGGAGCTCAAGACTTTAACATGTATGCGAGCTGCACACAGTGCAGGAGCCCTCTTACCAGGCCACATGGATCACTGTCAAGTTCCTTCCTCCTCTCTATTTGAGAAGCTCATCCTACCTGGGGCATTTGAGGCCAGTATAGCTGCAACTTTGCACGAGCACTAAGCTCATTTCTGTCAAGCAAGGTGTCTGCTTTGGACAAAGGCAGTAGCCATGCTGAAACAGTGCAAACAGTGAGATGTTGACTCCCAAGGATTGCTAAAAAAAGTCTTTCTAATTTACTAATCATTATTAATTGCCAAGTTTGTGGTTTAATCAAACTATTACCTAATACTGAGTCTGTGGCTCCAGTTTAATCAGAATACCTCTTGGAAATGAATTGCTGTGTTTTCATCTACTAAAAGTCTATTGGCTCATTTTTCACGTAGGTCTTGGGGAGAGGCTTATGTGGCTGACATCATGTAAGGACTGAATGGCTTCTTACAGTTGGAAGAGAAATGAAAGAGTGGGAGAAGATTGGAGGCTAATATTTATATTCAACTTTCGGTTTATATAGCAAAAATACCATTAACAGCAAAAAACTTGTACGGGACTCTGCCCGATGAAGAGATTGCTTTGCAGTTGGTGCAGGTGTTTTCTGTGACTACCCACTTTCCTGTAGTTCTCATTCTTGCAATTCCAAAAATTACAGAGCTGCTTCTTGATGCCCATTATTTTCCCATCATATCTGCATCATATCTTGCACCATCCTATCTGGTGCAAGACTTACCCACATATCTGGTGGGTAGGGAGCAGGGAAGGAGGCAGTAAAACTCTATTGTGCTTTCTGTTTGACTCCAAGATGTAAGAGAAATTCAGCCATTTTGCTAGAGTCAGTCCTACAGACCTCTGCTATAGCTCAAGAAAGGCTTCAAAATTGTCTTTGGTGGTAGGTTCTTAGGACAGTAATTTGTTTTGATGTTTAACCACCTGTGTTTCTTTCAAACACTTTCTTTCAGACAAAGGACCCGTTACCAGCCTTCTGCCTTCCCAGGTAAACTATTCGCCGGTGATAAACCACCTCCTCCTCGGCAAGAAGATGAAGTCAAGCAACAGGTCTCTCAAGAACGCAGTGATTCACATCCCCAGCCATGCGACGGGGAAGATGTCTCCCCTAGCCCAGGACGACCTGAAGGCGAAGCTGAACTCCCCGTGGCGCAGCCACATCCGGGCCCATCGCAAGAACGTGGCCAGGGCCAAAGGGCCGCCGGGCTGCGGAGATACCGTCGGACTCATAGACGAGCAGAGGGAGAGCTCTAAAACTGGCAGCGCTGCGGCCAAGGAGGCGGCTCCTGCGCACGGCGGCGTGGGAGGAGCAGGCGGTTTGGATGACAGGACTCCCGGGGAAGCCGAGGGCCGGGCGGCGGAGCCCGKCGCCCCGGTGGCGGCGCTGCAGCTGCAGCTGGAGGCGCTGGGCCTGAGCGCCGCCGGCGAGCGCGCGGGCCCTGCGCCCTGCCCCGCACGGCTGCCCGAGGCCGCCGCTGCGCCCGGCCGCGCTGCCAGCGCCGCCCAGGGCCCCCAGCCCGGCACCCCCAAGCCGCAGGTCTTCAACCCCTTTCCCAGCGTCAAGCCTCTGCGCAAGTCCGCCACGGCCAGGAATCTGGGGCTCTACGGCCCCACGGAGAGAACGCCGACCGTGCACTTCCCGCAGATGAGTAGGAGYTTCAGTAGGTCTGTCGGTGGCAGCAGTGGGACCAGGAAACGGTGACCTGCCTACGCCTGCCCCTTCCTCCTCCTGCAGCAACAAGAAAGAACCAGAGGGTTGTTCGCTGGGTGGCTGGGTTTCTGTCATGTACATGTGTGTGTGTATGTGTCCCCAGAGAGTTTCCACATTTAAAAGTAATGGGGACAGACGTGRTTACCAGGTGTACGAATAGGTGTCTTTGAAAGTTGTGCTCCCGTGTGGCATGGGATAGATTAGGGAGGATGCACTCTGGCAGCCTAGTGTAGATTCTGGTGGTTCTGTGGTAAAATAAACATTGGTTTAAAGTGTGAAACATACTGTCCCTTCAAATCCAACGCAGGTGGAAAATTGCCAGCTGCCTTTACCCCTTCAGCCCCTGTGTCTCTGTCACAGCTCTAAGAACAAACTGCCCCAAACCCACCCCAGAGCACTTCTTAGTCTAGGYCTAGGCCTCTCCCCTAGGCTCCTCTGCAAGGAGCCACAACTGAGGGAAGCACAAGCAGTCCCAGCAAGCAAATACAGCACCCGCAGTGTCACATATCAGCGTGCACCTCCGGGGCCACCTGGCTTTGCACATTCCTGAACAGCATTCCATGCTCCCCGTCCCATGGCAGCCCTGTCCTGACACTGTAGCTTGTAATACAGCTGTGGGCAGCAAGCACGAGGGTAATAGATGTAAGTCTGTCCACAACACTGACTTGCTGCTTTTCTGTTACATACAGAAAATGTAATAAACGCTGGAGAGTTTCAGCCCTGCTAAATTAGGTATATACATGTAGTTGTTGGAACATTATGACACATCCTGGTTATCGTGGACTTTAAAAGCTAGTATCTAGATTACAGCGATTTTTATAATTAATTAACATTTGCCTGCTTGGCAATATGTAAAATATATGAATGTTCTAAAGTAGTTTAGGGGTTTCAATCCTATAAATAGAGTGATTAGATACTTAACGTRCCACTTGTCATTAAAAGCCAACATATCAGCCACTGTGTAAGTGGATTGGAGCCACTGGACTGCTGTGGGATCCATTACGGGGTTCTGGTTTGTTGTGAAACAAACGTAAGCTGAATTTCTCCTTCTGACTCAATCCCTGGTGTTAAATTCTCATAACATTTTCTCAGAAGCCTCTTCTTGTTATTTTCTCCTTAAAGTCCTTCAAAGCTGGTGAATATTGTAAGACTAATAACAGTTGTTTTGTTTCTATGTATATTAAAACAGGCAGGCAGAGGCATTAACTGTGGGTAATTCAACTTCAGGGTCACAAGCTCAAGCACTCAAATTCCAAAAATTCAGGTTACTCTTAAAATACTGCAGCTCTGCCGTGTTGTACATATGGACTGTGATTCATGACAAAACGGTCATGACCCTGTTCTGGAGTAAAAGCAGTAATGAAGAATCAATCTCACGATGTGTAATATCTTTCTCTTTTATCTTCTTTTTTTTTTGTTGTTAAATTTTAAAATTAATATATGATTGTGTATTTATTAATGTCATAAAATCTATAGAATGTGATATCAGTTTTATCATATGCCATAAATTATAAACTGTACAATATACCTTGTTTATTGGTGTGGCATACTTTTATTATTGTGTTTTATACGAGTGTATGGATATAAAATAATATACAAGTATGAACATGATAAATTTCAAACATGTAGATCAAATCTTGCCCCTGCTTTATTTTCAGATCAAAGTAGTATTGTCACCAACGATTATTTGTAGCAACGAGTAAATTTAAAATAATGTAGAATTTAGTAACCRATTATGGACTTCATGAGAGTTGTTTCTGCTTATATTTAAAGGAAATGCTCTTTTTCAAAAATTTCTTTGTGACTCAGTCTCCCTGTTTTTACCTGGCATTAGTGACTGTGCAGCTGTATACTGAACTGGTGAAAATAAAAGGATGTCATTCTAAAAAARAAGCTGATCAAATGTCACAAGTGCATGAATTGTCAACTTACTAAGATGTGATTAAATAATGAAAAGTCAGCTCTGCATATACTGGTCTTGGGAAAGAAATGCTAATAAAATACTAATTGTAGGAATTTAGACCTACTTTTTATCTGTGACTGTGCTCTGAGGGGCCTGCACTTGGACTGTCCAGGTTGAGGAGGAGGAGCAGCCCAGTGCATTYATTTGCTGTGGGAAAATTTCTTTTCTCTAAGCTGGAATTCACTTTTCTTGTCTCCCCTAACTGGAATTGCCTTTCCTGCTCAGTAGCTCCAAGGGTGTTTCCCTGCAGTCAAGGAGTCTCTGCTGACCATACAGAAAAAAGCTTCACTTGCTACTGAGATCAGGTCMCTTGGTTCAGAAGAGATCCAGGAGAGGAGACACCAGAGAAGTTCCCTGCTATTTTTTTGCTTGATTCTGTTACAGGGATACCAATAATCCTGTGAGTGGAAACAGGCCCCAGGCTCTTCTGAGATTGCTCAGAATTGCCTATCATTTCTTTTTTGATAGAATAAATCAGTTTTTCAGAATTCTAGGCGATAAACAGTTGATTTCAGGTTAAAAACAAAACCAAAAAACCCAACTTTTCCAAGTCTTTCTCTGATAAAACCATATCAAACTTTAATGGCTTTCTACAGCTCAGCAGGAAGTGGTGCTGTTGGAGGCAACATGTGAACAGAGCATTTGGGAGGAGGGAAGGCGCATCTGTGGGTGCTTTGGGAAGGGGAGCTCAAAAGGCGCAAGGAAATTTTGAGGGAAAATGAGTTTCTCGTGTCTGTGCCTCTTAGACAGCTTGTATATAGGCAGCAAATGGAGGCTCAGATGATGACTGCGCGATTCCCTTTAGCTTGCACTCCTGTCCGTGCGGAACACTCAGACCAGAACTGGATTCAGTCCCATACTTGGACCACATCCTGTAGCTAGTGAGGCAGCTGAGCCAGAACTTGCTCTTGGGTGAGCTCTGCTCCGCCTGGCTGCTTGCAGAGATGCCTGGCTTGTTTTGCTTCTTCARTGGGGATATGCTGGTAATGGAACAACTGATTTTTATGCCAGCTAGTTTATTCAAATATCAAGTAGCAGGTAAATATTGTGTAACATGCAAAAAGGAAAATGAAGCAAAAGATGGAGTTCCACTGTGTTAAACAGGCCTGACCTCCTTCCTGTTACTGCACAAGGTCATTTCTTAAACGGGAAAAAAAAAAAAAAAAAGAAGTTTTCCAAAATAATTCCACTACATCTTGACTCAGGAAAGGCCTTTCTGTTTTTCCCCCACGTTGAACTACTTTCACACCCTCCCCGTGCTGCGAGGGGCCGTCGCCTGCCTGATGCCCATGGTTGTTTTGCAGGCCCCCTCTGGCTTCGCAGGGCCTCTGTGTGAGCCACATGGTGCAGGCCGGCCCCGGGGAGAGGCTCCTGCCACGGCAGGGAAGCATCCAGGCAAGAGTGTGGCTGCTGGTGGTGATGCTGCGCACAGGGAAGCATCCAGGCAGGAGCGTGGCTGCTGGTGGTGATGCTGCGCACAGGGAAGCATCCAGGCAGGAGGATTGCTGCTGGTGGTGATACTGTGCACAGGGAAGCTGCGAGGCAGGAGGGTGCCTGGTGCCAGGCGCCTCTGCCGAGCCCCGCGTCCCGCTTCCCCACGAGCCGAGCTGTAGGGAACGCCCGGGAAGGAGSCCTGTCGGAGCAGGGCCGCCTGGCCGCGGCTTTCGCTGCACAGGGCTTTGTGGAAGCTCCYACGTGTGCTCTAACACATATAGATTTAGTGAACTCCAGAGTTACCTGTCTTGTGAAAATAATGCACGGGAGATTCAAATAGTGCTCCTCAAGACACGCTACAGATTATACACCCTCGCTTTCCTGTCTGAAACTGAGAGGTAAATGTGCACAAAAGTCTGAATTGTTTGTGGAGGGCATTTGTGGTGCTTGCAGTGCCACTGAAAATCCAGACCCCCGGCTGGAGGGGCCTCTGGTTACCCAGAGAGCCGAACACACCTAGCAGAGCGCGTGAAGGTACAGACCAGAAGAGGGCAACCTCCAAACGTAAAGGTGTGGGAGGAGGCAACAGATGCTGCAATAGAGAGATGGCATTTCCATATATGTATACCTGTCTCTTTTTACAGAATATTTAAGTATATATCCCCGTCTAGGTTCACAGACCTCAGGACTCCCCTTGCCTGGGAAATGCTATGGTGTTGGTCCCAAGAGGGAGTGGGGGAGAACCAGGAGCCCACTGCAGCCTGAGAGGCTTAGAAGTGGGCAGAGAATCCCGATGGAAGGGCTGCGCTTCAGAGCGACTGTGCTGCGGTTAAGGAAGTGCAGGCAGTTCTTCCAAACCAGTTTTTCAGCCCTATTAGGACACACCTAAGAGATATTTCCATGCTGCTTATGTGCTCATCAAGAATGGTTTCTCTGCCATGTGCACCTGCACATGTATGCACACATGCTGCTGATTTTCATTCCTGCYGATTCCAGTGGCTTTTCCAAATGACAAACGGCCACAAACCAGCTCAGAACCAGGGCAGGAGGCAGTCAGTGCAAATACACTGCAAAGGGGCTGATGGACAAAGACATGGCAGCAAGGTCATTCTTAGGAAAAAGAGATGAAGTCTTTAGTTCAGTTCCCTCATAGAAGTCCAGTATCAAAACTTAGTTGGATAGGCTGTTGATTTATAGCTTGTCTGCAGTCAGTGCTAGTCACTCACAGGRAGGTGAGCTGAGGGAAGCGGAATGAGATATGAACTTGTCATTCTGGAGTTCAAGAGTGGTATCAGATATCACAGAACCACAGAGGGTTGAGGTTGGAAGGGACCTTTGGGGATCACAGAATCACAGAATATTCAAGGTTGGAAGGGACCTCKAGAGATCATCTAGTCCAACCTTCCCGCTCAAGCAGGCACACCTAGAGCACGTGGCACAGGGTAGCACCCAGGCAGGTTTTGAAGACCTCCAGAGAAGGAGACACCACAACCTGGATGATCTAGTCCAAMCCCCTGCTCCAGCAGGGACACCCAGAGCACGGGGCACAGGGTGGTAGCCAGGCAGGTTTGGAAGATCTCCAGAAAAGGAGACTCCCCAACCTTCCCGGACAGCCTGTTCCAGAGCTCTGTCACCCTCACAGTTAAGAAGTTTTTCCTCCAGTTCAGGTGTTACCTATAATGGTTTCACAAATGGAATCTGTAATTGCATTTTCTTTACTCTTCCAGTGACATCTTTTTATAAAACTGTTTATGTTTTTTCTTTGAAACATGGATCTGTTTGCTCTGATCTGTTTGGTGTTTGCACACCAAAATGCAGAAGCAAAACGCATTGCTTTTTCCTCACACTACTGCAGCATTAGACATCCTGCCCTTTCGAACTCGGGATTACTGTGTATGCTCGTTTTTTACACCGTGTTTCCGCTGCACCAGTAAACTTTTCACCCAGCTGCAACAATACTGCTCGCTGTCTGCCCGCCGGCACTGTTGGAGAAGAGGCCCTTCTTTAGCGCGCATAGAGGGCTATTGTCTGCTCTGCGGAGCGGCGGGACGCTCCATGTCGGCTGCCAYGTTCTCCATCCCRGCTAGCCAGGCCTGAGTCACTGATTTCCCTCCCGACTGGGAGCTGTTRGCTCCCTTCATGCTGAAGAGGTGGGAGCTGTTGGCTCCCTTCATGCTGAAGAGCAGCTTCTTTGTCACAGTGTGAGAGGTAAATGGTCTAAAGCCTCTGCTGAACCTTCTGGGTTGGTAAGACAGACAGAGAGGGTTTGTGGGAGTTTGTGAGGCACAACAGCATCCGCAGTAAAAATGATTAAAAAATAAAAAGGTCTATAAGGATAACATGGTGATAACTGATACAAACCCAGAATTTTCAGACCAGGTTTGCAGACACTGCCAACAGGAGGTCTGTGCTCTTTCCTCTGCTTTTAGCCCATACAGTCCCTTGTTAATGTAAATCCACGGGGAGCTCCTAGGTGTGATCACTAGATGCCACTGTTGCTCCACGCAAAACCAGCGACGCTGTTAAAAAGCTGCAGTTCCTAACGAGGGAAACTCAGACCTGATCTCAGTGTTTGGTAAACCACTGCCAAGACTCTTCCTTAGGCAGAGGCAGAATCGATTTTTTTTTTTTTAATTGATTAAAAAAAAATCTCTACAAGATGAGCTGGCAAGTGCGATTTAGGCTGCAGGTAGGTGAGGGAAGTTGGCTAGGTGTGCTGTGTGCGGTGTAGACATTTGTTTCGTCCTGGAGTGGGTCAGCACTGACCCACTGCCTGGCAGAATCAGGTGTGGCCCTCTCTCTGGCAGGTTTCTAGAAATACGAGTGTGCTGCTTCACCCTAAAGGTTAAAAGAAAAAATGTATTTTTTTTCTAAACTCTTAAGAAAATAAGACACAAGGAGGCTAGTGAGTACCCTTCTCAGACACTTTCCAGCTCCCTACCCTGCCCTGGGGACTTTCCAATAGAACCTCTAAGTGTTTGTCCAGTGTCTGGAGTCTGTGGAGAAACTTTGGGTCTCTAGCCTTGATCTCCTCTGCCTTGAAGAACTGCTCATTGCTACTGAGAGCTGGCGTTTGCTGCCCACTGCCTCCATCAGCTATGACTTCTTGGGTCCAAGTGTACCTCAGATATGCCCTTTGCCAGCATCTGAGCCAACTTAGCTGAGCCTTAGACCCACGGGTCAGTTTTTCAGAGGCAGGCTTTGCAGCTGTCATGGGTAGAGACATGTGGAGACGCGCTGGCTGGCACCAGTTTACCCAGCACATGCCGCTTCACTGCCAAGCGCAGGTCATCCGAAAGCAAACACCCCTAAATCCCTTTAAGGACTTAGGCTCTTACAACAGGACCAAGACTTTGTTAAGATGCTTAAAAAGAAATACAAACCCTTGCTCAACTCCTCCATAGCAACAGAGACCTGAGCACCCTGTAAAAGTCCCTCAATTTGGCTCCTG